CCAATTTATCGAAAACGGGAAAAAAAAGGCTGTATTTATTAAAAAGTAATTACATTGATTTAACAGTATAAATAGCATAAGTAGCTAAATCTGTCTTAAATGAGGTACTTATACTAGTTATTTGCTGCACAACACAACCGAGAATAGTATAGAAAGCTGATCAGGGCTCTCATGCTTTGCTCGGTGCTGTCAGTCTAGCATTGTAACCATGTTTACAGGAGAACAGGACACAAGGGTGACCTCATGGAGGTTGGTTTTTGACCAAGGCTGGTTTATGTAACTGTTGTAACGTGTGGCAGCTGACCTAGCTGTGCTGCCTCATGGGGTGACTGAGCCACAAGGCTTGTTAGGGAGAATTACAGATAACATTTGTGTGCGAAGGTTCTCATTCATCCAGGTCATGGTTTCACTGGTCATCTGACTAGCTTTATCAATTCAGAAAGAATTGAGAAAGTTAGCCGGATGAACAGCGAAACATCTTCAAGAAAAATGCAGCAATTCCAGTTGCTTTCATTTAATTTTTACAGGTATACAAATGCAATTTTTCAAAGGTAAATCAGTTCAGATATCAGTGATTCAGCTTTGAGTCTGTGCCTGAAGTTTTCTTTCTAAAGAAACCTTTTCTTTTCCTGTGTTTTAGAAACCGCTGCTAATATGAAAGATTTAGCTGAAAAACAACTTTCTGGTGCAAGATCAGCTCTTCTCCAGTCTGTCTCCTAAGACCCAGTTAATCCCACATTGAGTGCCGCCATATTTTTTGCATAGCATAGAAAAGGTGAAGCCAGGCTGGCAATCACAGCGTGCACATTATAGACACATCTGCCCTTCCTATGATAGTTATGTGCCCCTGATTTTTGCATATGTCAATGGCCATGGAAACTAGTTACAGCTTAAGAGCTTAGCCAAAGACCCTTGACAAAAAGTTGAACTATCAGTAAGCCCTGGTTCACACCTAGGAGTTTTTGAGCAGTTCGAAAAGCGCTTTTAAATGCCCAACACCAGAAACCCCATGATTTTCAATGGACCTGCTTCACACCTGAGCAAAAAACGCCAGCAGGAAAAAGTCAAATGCCCAAAAAGGTGCATGAGCTTCTTTGGGCAGTTAAAAACACTTTTTTGCCCTGTAGACTTCATTGGAAATACCCAAAAATCCGCGGCAAAAGCATGTTGCACATTTTCGGGAGTGTTTTTGCACATTGAAACGCACGTTCTTCCATTGCCCGCAATGTTTTATGAGCTGCCATTCAAAACACGCATCAAAATGTGCACAACGCGCATAAATACGCAAGTAACCGCATGCTCCTAACGCGCGTAGAGACGCGCAAAAACGCTGCCGTCTAGCTGTGAATCAGGCCTAACAGCACTGTTTAGTCTGCCCAGACTTAACATTTAGCCACAAAGAGGAGTGTATTTTAGACAGCTGATGGAGCGCATTATGGAGATACCACCATGTTACTGTTCCCGGGAAATGGAAAGTATATGCTGTTCAACTAACAATATAGTTCCTGTGTGTGTACCTGGCCATTGGGACAATAGGGTTATTGAGTCTAAAGTAAATCTAAAGCTGGCCACAAACTAGCAGGCTGGACGAAAAAAATCTAACAGATTCTTCCATCTAAACAACATGGATGGAGGAGTCTCCCCCGCTAAGTTGTTATAGTCTGACAGCCACTGTAGTCATTGTTTGGCTGAGATTTTTCCACTGAGCTCCTTGGGCTTCCAGATCAAAGGATGTCGGGTGGGAGATACCGATAGGGCCACCTATGGTGCAAATTTCAACCAGTTCATCAAGAAAAAGTTGAAATTGGGTGCATATAAGTCCAGCTTTAATCAATGACAGGAAGCAGTAAGACTGTTAACATAGTGTGCACACTATTAGGGGCTAGGTATAAGCTTAGGTTCAGGCTGAATCCAGTCCAAACCTGAGCTCTTTTGAACATCCCTGGAGCTGCACAGAAGCAAAGGGGCGGGATGCAGTGACATCATTGACCTTGTATGGCAACATGGCTATATTTATTTAATGCCACTGACCTAATATGGCCTTGTGGCCATAAAAGATCAACAATGTCAACATAAGCATCCCACCCCTTTGTTTATGTGCAGCTGCGGGGCAGGGGATGCCCCGGTCACAGCTGATTGGGCGCATGGCCCATGCCACTTTCACCTTCAGCCTGAAAGTAAGCTAATCTCCATTAGGGACCAGTGCTGTGGATAGAGAAGAGCTACTCAATAGCTTCCCAGCACTTTTCAGCATCAACTCCTCAACTCTGATCTTTGTCACAGTATTACGTTTTAGGGATTTCATGAAAAGTATAAGCCCTCACTCCCCTTTGACAGGATGAGGGGAAAAGTAGCAGTGGCACATGAAGCCAGAGAAGGGGGGGAGCTGCTCTCCATGGGAAAGGAGCCACGTGGTTGTAATGTGTCCTGGGGAGAAACAACATCTCCCAAAGGAAGTACAAAGGTTCACCAAAAGATCACTTTTTAGCTAAGAGGATACTCTGGGATTTTTCAGCCTCAGGAATACAGGGTAATATGTGAAAGTGCTGGCCAGGATGACCAGAAGCTTTGAAGGCATCTACTGGTAGGGGGGGATGCAAAGGAGATCTGTGACTAACAACAGCATGATTCCAAAGCATGACCCTGTGCACCTGACATCAGTTCTGAAATGGAGACATCAGACAACGTCCCTAGTGGGGCCCACTTCCCACCCTCGGGCCCCATAGCAGTCGTGTGGGCTGTTATGATACGGTTACAGTTATGCCACTGACTAGTATCTTTCACTTTAGAAGTCCTGCAAAGTAACAGGGGGTTGCACTCACATGATCCAGAACAAGCATCGCTCCTTACATTCAGCATATCAAATCTGAACACTAAAGTCTATTGTTGTCGAGGCAGCGGATTCTTCAATAGAATTTCAGTTTATCATTGCAAAAGCTCTGCATGTGGCTTGAACTACGCACAGTTTAACCATCTCAAGTTCATTAGCGTGTCTCATGATCACAGCTAGTGAACTTATCAGATGAGTGCCAAAGTCATGTCACATGATGTGCTCACCAACAAAGGTCTTGTTATAAGGTGACTTTTACAAATCATTGTGACAAGACGCATCCGTATGAGGCGAAGCACATTGCTGGGATGCTTTTCATTTTTCTATATATGCTGAATTAAAGCACTTTGCAAAATGTCAACATACAAAGAAGTTATCTGAATAGTTACATTGCCTACGGGTTCAGAGCGGTTCAGGGTACAGATAACGTACGTGTGTACAGGCACACATGCCAGCATATAGAGATGGGTAGACCCTTGCTGAGTGCACTGACAATTTAGGCATTCATTGAATCCCAGAATATAACATTATGTTATAGGAGTGCCACCATATCACCAGTAAGTGCTACCTTGTTACATGAGAAGACCACCATATCAGCAGACTGCGAGCATGTTGACAAAGAGTTCCACCATCATCAGTGAGAGCTCCCTAGCTCCGGAGCTTGATGCTAAGCCACCAGGGAGGGTTGCTGTGTTATAAAAGTTCTGCCATGTAACTAACATCAATTAAGAGAAATGAGAATGCAGCAATGGCCTGTAAACTCATAATTCACCTTTTGTAAAACATAAAAATGCACACACATTATTTAACGAAAAGAAATTGCATTTATTTTTATTTTTTGAAGCCTGCAAAGCATTGCAAGCCTTGATGAATAGAATGCGGGCGCAATGCACAGTCTCCTGCAACCCTCCCTGGTGGCTTAGCATCAAGCTCCGGAGCTAGGGAGCTCTCACTGATGATGGTGGAACTCTTTGTCAACATGCTCGCAGTCTGCTGATATGGTGGTCTTCCTCAAGGCCCAGGTCCATATGGAGGTACAGACCTTCAGTTATGGGACTAGAGGAAGCAATCAGACCACAAGTATGGTGACATCTCTGCACTTGTGCTCCATTGAGATTGATGGGCCCCTCTGCCACAGTGGCAGACTAGACTTGCAGTCTTTTCCTCTGAGTGGATCTGCGAATAAATGATCTGCCTGTGTGATCTCCGCCCGCACAGCTGCACTGAAGTCAAATGCAAACCGAAGACAGTAGGAGCAGGGATGAGCAAAATCTCTCTCTGACCGGAGGTTCCAGTATCAGGGAAGGTATCAGAGCATTTGGGCGAGTACGAGTACTCACCCAAATACTTGATATCGGCACCAATACCGATACTAGTATCTCTATCGGTGCACCCCTCCTATTGGAGAAGATGCTGTCCTGTATTTTTGAGTTTTCGGGTATCC